GAAAAAAAACTAGGGAAGAACACGCAGGGAATAGAGGACGAAGGCCCATAGACAGGAGGTAAGAAAACCCAACCCGTCAGACAGGCAAAGTAACGTCGAAAACGGATTACGTCTCACAACGACCAAAAGATTTCCAGCGAAAGCAGACGGGGTGTAAGCATCGGGGGATAATAAAAGAAGAAAAACAAAAGAGGGAGAAAAATACGAGTGAAGGATAGAAAGGACAAAGGATAAAAGGGAACTGAGCAGTAAGAGGAGATAAACTCTCCTCTTTCCCCTCACAGTTACCCTCTTAATAAAGGAACCTCTCTATAAGGGCACTTGGTCTGCCCCATACTAATACATTGTGTATATACTGCATCCGATAAAGGGACACCTCTGAATCAAAGGACTTTAATGTCCCCATTGTGTTTACTTATTAAGATTGAAATATGCTATTTCAACCAACCCTCGTCTTTTGACCCTTTATCAGCCCTTTCTTTTTGCGTGCTCTGTCATTATTTACATTTCTTCTCTTTTCTTCTTTTACCTTCTTCTCACTCCCTCCCTCCCTCTCCACACAGAACTCCTATAGTATACTTGCGCTACAAGTCGGTCCATACATTCTACGCCACGTTTTGTCTGCCGTGTGAAAGTCTTCAATTTCATTGGTTTAATCGTCGGACTGAGCATCTTCATTCGGGTTTCCTGCTTGTGGCAAACTTTCAGGTAAACAGTCTTTACCAGCAATAAGTGAAGCGAGTGCAACCTGTAGTTCGTCGGAATTGTGCTGGTTTTGCTGAGTGTGTATTGGTAAGGGCTGTCTAGTACCGTAACTGACATGAAATGAATCTGATAAAGGACACCTCTGATATATGGCTCAATGTCCCACGAGGTTTTCCTTATGCAGAGGATTTGCACTGTACAGTAATTTGTTTAGAATGGCCGTACACAGAAGTGTCCCTTATGGTGAGCGAATCGTCCCAACCTAGGCGTCTAAAGCAGCGGTTCACTAAGGTTTTCACTATCCTAGCTCCACTGCACATAACGTCATATACAAAATTGAACAAAAATAGCAAAATGACTGCTCGCGATTCGCCACCAACTTCCATATATGTGAATTGCAACTGCTCCCGTTAGTCGCAGGGGTGCGCAAAATGCATTCTGTTTATCACACAACAGATGACTATGAGCGGCGTTCATCTCCTCGAGCGTTTGTAGTGTCTCAGCCGGACTGTCTACAGTGGCACACACTTACATCACGTACCGAGTGTAACCAGCTCCGGAGTGCCGGGCATGTCCGTCGGCTGGTCGTGTCCAGGCGCTTATCAGTCTTCTATCACTCGTCTTCTTCTTTGTTGGAGGTGTATACAAGATGGAAAAATCATTTCTTCTTCATAAATGAAAGGGGGATATAGGGATGGCTTGAAGCACCAAAAAGGAAGAAACAAGGGGTCATTACACAGCAAAGATGCACAAAGCTACATGACACCATCCCTATATCTTTGTCTCATATTAAACTTTACTTCAAGGTAAACTGTTGCAGAATGGAAATGACGGAGACGGCAAGCGCGGCTCTTTCCCAATTAGGGAGGAAAATGTCAGCAGGGCGAGATTGGTTGTGAACAATAACACAAAGATATAGGGATGGTGTCATGTAGCTTTGTGCATCTTTGCTGTGTAATGACCCCTTGTTTCTCTTCCTTTTTGGTGCTTCAAGCCATCCCTATATCCCCCTTTCATTTTGAAGAAATGATTTTTCCACTTGTTTCCACTATTTTTCACGCCTTATGACAACACTGCATTTTCAGTCACTCTGATGTTCATGGGTGTTGTAGAGATAACTGTTGAAAGCAGAAGCTAATGGGCTGCTCCTACCTGAAGCAGGGTGTATGTGTAGTGTCTCCAACAAGGATGCAATTAGATTGTGGCACATATGGGTGGGGTGGTTTCATAGGCAGGCTTCAGTAATCAGACTACAATGATAGCTATAACCTGGGGGACAAAGAATGAAGGCGCTGTGCAAGGCCCGCGTAACACGGCGCACACTGCCAAGTTGCTCCTCGTGCAAATCAACAGCAAAACGCAAGCTAGCCACTTACAAAGTGTACACTGGACTTACAGAAGGCACTGGAGGATGAGAGTAGTTTTCTCTGCAGGCATCCAGTCCTGGCTTAGTCTCGTTTCGTGGATCAGGCAAAATGCGCGCGCACCGCATTGGAAACGCCCTCCTCGGCGCATGCGGCTCACTGATGCTGAGTTAGCAGCAAATGGCGTTGTTCAGTGACTACCGGGAAGAGCTCAACGATCTACCGTAGAATGACTTGCGGCACAGAAACAAACAGACCCGAGAATCGCCCCCAGAAACTAACGCAAGCCAGCGCTAGCCCGAACGTTGTCGTAACCATGAACAATATAGGGAGAGCATAAATCAGGGGGGGAAGACAGAAAAGCGATCCGCTTGATCTGCGTGCACACCTCCGAAAATTTGGAGACTTCTGTGAAAAAATAAACGCTTCAAACTGCTTCCGAGGAGCTAGCGGTCTGAAGAAAGAAGACGAAGAGATATTATGATTATGATGACACGAAATCGCGAAATCGCGTAAGAGCGAATTCTCTGGTGGGGAACTGAGGGCACGTAGGAAGTCTTGGGGCATATGTATAGCTAGGTATTGGCCTCTAGACTATTGCTAGTGATTTTGAAGCCATGGTGAGTCATTCTCGCTGATTTTGAGGCGTTTTGTACGCGGATCACGTGAGATTTCACTCGTGTCATCCCTATATAGAGCGTCTACCGACGCTCTGATACATCACTCAAGTACGGTAGTACATATCGTAGGGATGACTACACGTTATCTGAGATTTTCACTATAAGATCTACTACCTTATCCACTGTGGTATGTATGACAGAAACGCCTTGTTGTTTCGTGTTGAATGAAAATGTATTACCACCGTGTGGGTACGTGAAATGAACAAATGGATTACCCAGAGTGTTGTTACGCTGAAATGAAAAATGGATTTACCATTACCGTGTTGTTACGTGAACTGAACAAATGTGGATTTTCCTTGTCGGTTCGTGAATGAAGAAAATGGATTTACCGTGGTGTGTACGTGCATGAAAATGCTGGACGTTTTACGTGTTGTACGTGAAGTAGGCATTTGTATGTCCACCCCGTTGCCGTGTGAAATGAGTGGCAAAACTATCACAGTGTGATGGGTATTATAGGTGAGTACACATGCTGTAGCACGGCAATGCGAAAAGCACACAGTGATAATACAATTCGAGATGAGATGTGATTTGTGCCCCGATGGTGGGACTCGACCCACGACACTCTGTAGTCTAGGCTGCATGCTCCACACCACTGTGAGGTCTACCAGGGGCAGCTCAGCAGCAACATACTGGTGTTCAAATCTCTGCAACACCGACGAAAAGCAAACTTGAACTAACTATGCTCTGCACGCAGTAAGCGTTCCTAGTCTGTATATTCAGCAGTATTGTAGCGTCCATCTTGTCTGCAAACACTGTTCAACAGGACCGACAATCGTACCCTACCCGGCAACTCTTTTGTTTGTCCGACCTCCCTCCTCCCCCCACTTTCTCTTACAACCCTTCTTCTAACTTTTCCCCTGCTTCTATCTTGGTACTTCTTGCCCCTACGTCGGCCACCGCCCACACTCCCTCTCCCAATCTCAGCCTACTCCTTCCTCGGATTTCACTTTTTTGTCTTTTCTTTTCTCTATCTATCTGTCGTAAGGATCCCTGATGCGCCGGGTTGGGCGTCTCCGCGGGCCGCAGGCGGCGCGTGCGCCGCCGTTGGCGGCGAGGCCTCGGGTACAGCCTGCGGCGTTGTCCCTGTTTCCACATGGGTGGCACTTTCTGTGACAGTGTGGTGGGGCTGGGGGTTGCCTCTGCTCTGCGTGTACAAGGAACATAGAATAATAGTGGTTGCAAGGTTGTCGTTTTCCCTTTGGGGGTCCACATTAGATGGAATGTGGGCTAGTCACTTACTTTTCTTGACCCCGGGGGGCGCATCCACAGCCTCTTAATCCTATCACAAGTCGGTAGTACTTATTTTGGATTGACTGTATATAATACACACACACAGTCTCTTAATGCCATATATATAATACACACACACATACACACACACCCTCCCTGCAGGTGCATATTTGCACAATAGTTATGACATCATAAGTTTAGTCAATTTATTGTTTCGCGTCTGATTCTCGCTGAACTCTCTTTCTTCATTTTTTTGTCAGGGTTTCGCATATCACGTCCTCAGCTCAGCGTGTGAATGGGCGATGAGTACGACATTTCTGGTATACTTCCTCACCTTTCACCCCGATTTCAAACAAATGAAGATCGACATTGTCGTTCGTCGCAGATCATCGGGAAGTCACCACGGCTACGACAGTATCGTCAATAGCGAAAACACGCCTCTTACTCATTGACTATGTTTCAAGTGTATATGTGTGCATTTTGATGCTGGATTTTTCACTGTATATGTAAGTGTGCAAAATAGTGTAGATTACAGAATGTCTTTTGCGAAAAATAATGCTACTTAGAGCTGTGATAACTTTAATTGCGCAAGCTGATGGGTCTGTGTCGTGACTTAATTCGAGTAGAGCGAATGTATGTATACAAGTGGAAAAATCATTTCTTCAAAATGAAAGGGGGATATAGGGATGACTTGAAGCACCAAAAAGGAAGAAACAAGGGGTCATTACACAACAAAGTTGCACAAAGCTACATGACACCATCCCTATATCTTTGTTTGATATTGTTTGATATTAAACTTTGCTTATAAACAATAAAACAAAGATATAGGGATTGTTTCTTCCTTTCAGCGTCGCTTTTCCTCAATGTTATTTAATATTCGATATGTCATACATCATTACTAGATTCTTCAGAAACGTTTGTGTCTTCTTTTGTCCCAGTTTTCTCTTTCCCTACTGGGGGTTCAGCCCCTTTAATTAGCAGTTCTTCTTCTGAACGTTGTGCACTCAACAGTCTCTGCTTTGTGCTGTAGAAATCATGAATCTGAAGAGATCCAAGCCACTGCATCATTCTAGGTTTTTATTTGTGTTAAGGAGATCTCTGTGTTCTCGTATTTTGCGATGGTTGTAAGTGCCATATAAACGTTTTTTCTGCATAATTTCACTCACCTTCTCAACACTATCTTTTAGAAAACTTTGTTCTTTTGTTGCTAACAGGTCAAAGGTCAGAGCTTCATGATTCACCAGATTCGGAAGATGGTGGGTCTCGTTATCGCCATAGTGAGAGGGTTTGCCCCGGAGACGACGCTCATTGAGGCTTTTCAAAAGGGGAAGGTCGATATTCCTAGAGCACCTGCATTGGGACTACTTCTGGAGAATGTGAGCCGTTCATATGTACTATACCAACTTAATCACTATCAAATTACTGGTGGATGATATTCTACTAGTACTAGTGGCTCAAGATAGATTTAAGGTCGGATTCAGAAGATTGTGAAGGAAAATTTCGAAACACTAATACACAGAGAAATTATGTGCACATGCGGTGCTGCCATATAATTATTGCTATAATGCGAAATAAGCTACACAAGTTATTTTGCGGAGTGCACTAACGTATCATTTGTATGCAAGTATGCCGCTCTGCACCAATGTGCAGGACGAAAGTGCAGTCACCAACGAATGGTGATCTCATGTGGTTACGCAACCATGTGCACACAGGGGGCGGGGTCTGTCTGAACCCAATGGACTCTAGATCCACCGCTGACGTTGAGAGGTACGCTTGCGCTTGCCGATTACAGCAGTTTGCAATATATTATATTACCTTGTGTAAAGAAACTAAACAGCTCACGATACAGTAGAGGAAAAAACCAAAAACAAGACTGCAGTAGAGCTTCAACAAAACTAGGTATGACTTACAAAAAATAGCAAGTGCATGATGTGGCAATATTATTACACAGACACAGGCAGTGTAAAGGTATAAATGCATCACAGATAATCTGAGATACATAAAATAAACAATACCAATTGGAAAAATTACGTTAATTCTAATGTGAGTGTTTGCGTTCCTATGGTAGCTTCTTTGTATTAGCATTGTGTTGTGTGAGAGGCGTTTCACTTGAATATTTGAACTCGATTGTTGTCGGTGTCACTGACGTAGATGTGGCCGTCATCCCTGGCAGCTATGGCAAATGGGTATTTGAACTCTCCGTCTTTGTCCCCTTCCTTCCCAAATGACATGATGTACTTGCCATTCTCATCAAATACTGATACTCTATCACAGCTGTATTCAACCACATACACCCAGTCATCAGGTCCAACTGCCACACTGAGTGGTCGTCCCTAGTCTCTCTCCTGCTCCAGTGTTAGTGATGGATGATAGGTGATATCCATTAGCATCAAGAATCTTAATTCTATTATTGCTAAAGTCAGCTACTAATACATTTCCATTTCTACTGACAGATATTCCCTCAGGCTTGTTGAATTGACCTGCCTTACTTCCCGTACTACCAAAGCTGCCATGGAATGTAAAGTCATGGTTGAGGATTGTGATGCGATGGTTGAGAGTGTCACAGACATACACTCTGTTGTTGGTGTGGTTGTAGGCTATGGCAAATGGTGTGTCGAACTGCAGTCGTCCACTTCCCTTTGAACCCACTGATGCTATGAACCGACCCTCAAGAGTGAATTTCTTCACACAGTGGAAGGCAGCCACAAACACTGTGTTATCAGAAGAGATGGCTACTCCTAGTGGTGCGTTAAGTCTGCTTTCCTCTGGTCCTGTGTGTCCAAATGATCGCAACTCTCTGTGATTGCGGTCAAACACTTTCATACAATTAGAACCCTGCTCACAAACAACCATTTCACCAGTTTTGGCAAAAGCAATGTGACGTGGCATCTTGATCCCACCAATGGTCTTGACATGCTGGAACCTCTGAACAAACTTCACCTCTCCTAGTTTTCGACATGCTGAGCTCAAGTCTGCACACACTACACTAATCTTCTTCTCTGGACCCAACACCAGTTTCTGAGGTTTGAACTCGTCTGCCATCTCCCGTGCCCTCTCCTCCACTTGTCTCTTCATCGACAGCACCTCCTCTTGTGTGCCACTCTGCAGACTCCCCTCCACAAACTCCACGCAGCTGCTCAGCTGGGCCTGCCTCAACTCGTGTCCGTCGATCCGGGCCGCCAGCTCCTTCTTCCCCTGACGCACCTCACCATCTATCTGGGAGTGAAGCTCCCTTCTGCGAGCATCTAGGATTGCCTGGAGCTTGTCTACTTCAGCATTCACCTTTGCCTTTGCCTCTATACCCTGTGGCGTCTAGCCTGCTAGATCTTGCCTTCAGCTGTGCAATGGTGCTCCCTACACTAGCAAGCTCGGATTTGACGGGACGTAGGGAAGCAAGGATGGCATCTCTGTGCTTCGGGAAGGCATCGGGAATGAGGTCGTAGTTGTGGTCGCGATGGGTCTTGACGGTGCAGTCACGACAAATCAACTCGTCGCACGTCTCGCAGTAGATCTTGGTCGGCTCTGTTGCGTGTTTCGAACACGTGGAGCTCACCTTTTTGGGTGTCACCATTTTCGACGCCGTTTCTTGCACCTCGTCGAGGCTAGCGATTTCGTGCTCCTGAAATTCCTTCCACTTGCCGTGCATGGTAAGACAGAGCTGGCAAATG